GCCAGGATGGACATTCTCATGGGCTGGGGCAGGACTGTCACAGTGAGCGGATAAACCAAGCCTTTAGGAAATCCTCTTAGCAAGCAGCAGCTCCCTCTTCTCTGCGGCATCTTAACTGGTAGGGGATGTTTCCCCCTTCCATTTAACCACTTCACATTTAGTTATTACTTACCTTTGATGGAGGGAGGGCCTGGTGACTTAGTGGGTTCTGGGTTGGGCTGCTAACTTCAAAGTCAGCATCCTGAGACACCAGCTGCCGGGAATTAGAGTAGAAAGATGAGACTTTTCCTCCCATAAAGAGTTACCGTCTCAGAAGCCCATGGGGCATTTCTATTCTGCCCTATCTGGTTTCCATGAGTCAGAATCGACTCATGGCAGGGAGGGGGTTATGGGTTTAATGGAGCCGGCACAGTGCTTTGTGCCTGAGACACAGCCAGGGTCAGCCTTTTGTGTGATAGGGGACTCACAGTGTGGGATGCGCCCAGTGTGCTCTGGCCCCAGCTCAGCTCGGAAGGACTGCAGAAGGTGAAGAAGGTTTTCCTGAGGGTGACATGAGAGTTGTGTGTGAAAGGTAGTTCCAGGAAAAACAAACCAAAGAACCTCATTGCTATTGAGTGGGTGCTGACTGACAGTGACCCTGCAGGATGGGGGAGAAGTGCCACTATAACTCTTTATGGGAGAAGACTCAAAACCAAACCCAGCTCACTCCCATCCAGTCGACGCTGACTCATGGGGACCCCATAGGGCAGGGTAGAACTGCCCTTGTGGATTTCCGAAACCGGAACTCTTGACGGGGAGTAGAAAGCCGTCTTTCTCCCTCGGAATGGCTGGTGGTTTTAAACTGCTGATCTTTCGGATCTCAGCCTCTCGTGTAACCACTATGCCAGTTAGAGTCACCCTGAGATGGGCTGTGTGTGTGTGTGTATGTGTGTGTGTGTGTGTGTGTGTGTCTAATAAAGCAGGGTGATTCAGGCCGAGGAAAAGCCCAGGCAAAGGCCTGGAGACCTGAATCAGCAGGGCCAGTGAGCTGGTTTTGAACAATTCAATTCAATATGCTTTGGATGCAGGGCAGGCTGACAGGGGTCATGAGAGGGGAGGCTGGAGGGACCCGGGTGCCATCCAAAGGCGTTGCATTTTAACCCAAGGACGTGTGCTTCTCAAAGCTGGCTGGGCTTCAAAATCACCCAGAAGCTTATTAGGAAGCCGGTTTCTGGGCTGTACTCCAACTAAATGACTCGGGATTTCCACGTGGTTAGGTCTCTTTTCACCGGCTTCCCAGAAGCCACAGGGGAGGGTGGCCAGGTTGCAGCAGGTGAGAGACAGGCAGGATGGATCACTCCTGGAGAGAAACGACCAGGGCCCATTGTGAAGGCGGGGATGCAAACCACGCCCTGGGGTTCTTGCTGTGATCTGCCCCTTCTACCTGCTCCCGGCATCAAGAAAAGTCCTGGTGAGGTGCTGGTGAGCTGGTTCCGACTCATAGTGACCTGCTGGTGGAGCAGCGCTCTGTCCCGGGCTATGCTCACAATGGTTCTTATGTTTGAGCCCATTGTGTCTGTCCATCTCTTCAAAGCCTTCCTCATTTTTTTGTTGACCTTCAGCTTTACCGAGCATGATGTCCTTTGCCGGGTCTGGTCTTTCCTAATAACATGTCCAAAGCACAGGGGACAAAGTCTCACCATCCTTACTTCTTCTTTTTTTAAAAATCATTTTATTGGGGGCTCGTAGAACTCTTATCACAATCCATACATTTATCCATTGTGTCAAGCACATTTGTACGTTTGTTGCCCTCATAATTCTCAAAACATTTTCTTTCTACTTGAG